ACAAAAGCTACTGTGTTCACGTGAAAGTGTAAGTCGCAAGTTGGATCCACCCTTGTTGAAAGTTGATAAAAAAAACGTGGATAAGAATATCTGAGTGTATCTAAGGAAATTCAAGATCAGGTCATTTGAGTTATAATTGTCCCAGCAATAAACACTCATTGTATTGCTTGTTCATCCACAATACAACCATCCAACAACATGAGGTGATTCAAACAAACCCTAGAATAGTTGTTAAGTTTATACTTCCTCCGTTTTAATTTAGATGATATATTTTGATTTGGTACAAAGTTTAAGGGAAAAAAGGAGACTTGAACTATATGGTCCCAAAAGCTTAAGGGGTAAAAGCTTTGTAGGGTCATGCATTCGTGTGGCTATAAAAGTTTTTTATTATGGGTAAAATAATAAGTTTAAAGTTAAATTGCTTTCAAATATAGAAATATGTCATTCTTTTTGGAACAGACTAATAAGGAAAGTATGTCATTTAAACTGAACCGAATGAAGTATTTAATTTCCAACTCACGAACACTTCCCTAATCTCTTCATTTTTTACTCGGTGCTCTAATATTGTTCATGATTGCAGGTTATTAAAGACAGATTCCCTCGAATCCAATCCTTAGAGACGTACTTTCAGGGAAGGAAATGAAGCTGCTGACTCTCTTGAAGGAATGAACCGAGCCAAATTTCAACATCTTTGCCTATATACTAGTTCCACCATTATGTTCTACTTCTCATATGAGGATAGAGAAGGATGGAACAAACTTTCCTAAATTTTTATCAGTGGCGGCTTGTAAATATTTGGCCTGTCTTGGTAATTTAAGTGCTATTAATAGCACTATGACTATAACGACAATTACTAATAGTATTATTTATACATATTAAGTGATTTTTAAAATCAAATATAAAGTTTGTGTCAAAGCTTTTGGGTTTTCCGAACCCATAAGCTCAATTGTGTCTCTGCCCCGGAAAGGTTCAGCTTTATATATAAAGGTCATGTGTTAGTAAGACGTGAAGATATTTGTATAGGGTGATATCGCAACCTATGTGAAATAAGGCCTTTCCATTGTTTTTGCCTTGTTGCTCCGATAAAACTGTTGAAGTTTGGCAAAATGCCAAAGTCCCACATTGGTTGGGAGTTAAGTTTGGGGGGGATTTTTCCCCTATAAAAGAAGGCCTAATGTTTAGGATTGAAACACACCTCTCATTTGCCTTCTCATCTGTTTAAGGCATTTGTATCTTCTCTCTTTAGTATTATTTCACTTGTATTTTTGGAGTGGAATAAAATATTTGGTTGTGTCCGAGGAGTAGGCAAAATTAGCCGAACCTCGTAAATTCTGGTGTTCCCTTTATTATTGCTTTATTGTCTTATTTATTGTTTGGTGGTTGTCATAATTTTTGGTATAGTAGTTGTGACTTATTCACACTCTATACATTTGGCTTCCGCAACAAAAACCTTAACTCTGCGTGTCAGTGTATGCTAACACTCCTTAAATCTTGTAGTATTTTGAGTTTACTAAAGTAGAAACTCGGTGTCAAAAATATTTTGGAATGAATTGCCACAAGAATCATTAACCGAAAATGGACATGCTTTTTGGATTTCAATTTGACTTCTCTCATCTGTGATCAAAAGTAAAACCATCACGCTTGTCACATGGGCAAAGTTCCAAACTATATTTTGAAAAGGCAAAATACACAGTTTACCCATTAACCTTACACTCAAATCCCCGTTACACACCTTTCCTCCACGGGCAATCTTTTACACACCCAACCTTTGCAGAGTTGGGTGTAAAACACACCTTCTTTGATCAAGACCTAGCATGTGTAAAACACCAAGATAGAAGCGCGCCTACCAGCTAAAATACTGTCTAAATACTTATTTAATTTCACGTGTCAGCAAATCCCTCATCTTCCCCACCCTCCCTCTATCTCTATCTTGTTTTTTCGCCGGCCAACCTCTACCTCCAGCCCTTCTCTTCTTTTTTCATCCTTTTTTTTCTAAACCTTTATTTGTTCAGAACTCTTTGTCCCTTCTTCACTTTCCTCATCAACACCACCACACGCCATTTTCCTCCATTGAAGCATCTTTTTTTACTTTTTTTTGTTTAAGTGTAACTGATATTTTAGATTTGAAATACTCTCGCCTTACTATTAGAATTATTTAGTTGGGATTTATGCTGTTGATTTGGAACTCAAATGGGTTCTTGAAATTGAGAAAAAATTTACAAGCTTAGAGTATAGCAATCCAAATTATAAGGGGCTTATACTCGTTCTTTTCTTCTCTCTTTTTGTTTGAATATGAAATTATTGTTTCTATGGTGGTGGATTTGGGTGAGAAGGAGTCTGAGATCTTTTGCTCGAAAATGGTGGGTGGGTGGTTGTTATGTTTTTTGTGGCAGCCATGAATTTTTAAAATGGAATGAAAATTTATTGTTTTTGGGTGAAAATGGAAGTTTTTTTTTTGTGTTTATCACTTTGAAGGTTGAAAATACAAGGTTTCTGGCTTTGCTTTGACAGGATTTTCCAACGACTAAGATGAAGAAGATGGAGTATCGTTTTTAAGTATTTTCCTTTTATTTTAAATTGATGACACGTGTCAGAATCTTATTGGTGCGTGGTATACACTTGTTGAGAAAAGGTGGTCAAATACTAAAGTGGTGTGTATTAGACACACTTTTAAAAGGTTGAGTGTGTAATATTATTTTCCCCCATAGAAAACGTGTAACAGGGATTTAGTAGATAGTTCAGGTGTCAATTTATGTATTTAGCCTTTTGAAAATTGTCCAAATAAGAAAGCATGTTGCAACCGAATTTAACACAAAGTGAAAAAGTGAGAAGTATTAGAAATTAATGCTAATATATAAGTGGTATATTGAGGAGAAAAACATATAGAAATATAGTAGTTGGTGAGTGATAAAAAAAAGGTTTATTAATCCAAGTTTACATGAAAATGTAAAATCAATCGCATATATTAACCAGTGCTAGCATATTGTCATGGGGCATTTGCATCTATACTCGCTTTTGGGTCAAGATTTAACTTGTGACCGCTTTGCAAAAAAAAAATTGCAAGCGTACCAGCTTTTTCGTGTAAATTCAGCATACGGGGCTGAAGTAGCAAAGACAATCTCGCAAAACTTCAACATTCTAGTAGACGGACCTGAAGTAGCAAGTGTGCTGAAGTTTTTTGTTTGTAATTGCTGAACTTAAGCATAGTAGCTGAAGTTTTATTCTCTATTTGCTGAAGCTTTTATTTGTAATTGCACTAAATAAGCTGAAGTTTTTTTGTCCTGGATTCATTAGTTTTGTCATTAAGCATTTTCAAAAACTTCAGCAGAAGATGTTGAAGTTATTTAATTCATTTATAAAAACTTCAGCACTAAATAAGCTGAAGTTTTTTTGTCCTGGATTCATTAGTTTTGTCATTAAGCATTTTCAAAAACTTCAGCAGAAGATGTTGAAGTTATTTAATTCATTTATAAAAACTTCAGCACTAAATAAGCTGAAGTTTTTTTTGTCCTGGATAAGCTTTTTCAAAAACTTCAGCAGAAGATGCTGAAGTTATTTAGTTCATTTGTAAAAACTTCAGCACTAAAAGCTGAAGTTTTTTGTCCTGGATTCATTAGTTTTGTCATAAAACTTTTTCAAAAACTTCAGCGGAAGATGCTAAAGTTATTTAGCTCATTTGTAAAAACTTCAGCACTATATAAGTTGAAGTTTTTGAAAAAGCTTTCTAACATACTAGATAAATAATCAGATTGTGTAATTATTTATAAGCTTTCTAACTTACATAATTATTTATAATTTATTTTTAAATAATCTGATAAACATATTTATGGCAATCATTCCATGAACTGAAGTTTCAGCACCAACAGCAGCAGGAAGAGGAGGAGGAGGAGAAGGAGAAGGAGAAGGAGAAGAATGAGTAGGAGGAGGAGCATGAGGAGGAGAAAGAGAAGAAGGAGAAGGAGCAGAAGCAGGAGGAGGAGCATGAGGAGGAGGAGGAGGAGGGGGAGGAGTAAAAAGGGGGCTGAAGTTGTTTAAAAAGTGGATACAAGTTTAAAAAAAATTAAAAATAGGTATATGTTAAATGGGGGCGACCAAATAGGGCGCCCCGTGCAATTTTTACTATTGTCATGTTGTTAATAGTACAAACTATAGTTGAAAATTGTCAAGTAAGACAAACTTTTACAATAAGGTGCAAAAATCTCAGTTTCTTAAACATTTAATTGGTCCATTAATAATACTGGTTATCCCATGATACAATAGTCCGACATCAAGTATTCAAAATAAGCTTTAGACGAGATGTTAAGTCTTGATTTCCAACATATTATTACTTTACTTTAACGAACGAAAATATTTTTTTTAAGTCTATTTGTATAAATGTATTTTGCTTTTTCATTAGACTCTCTGATATATCAGTATAGAAGAGAAAAAAAAAGTCCAAATACATCAGCAGCCCCTTAAAGTTATCCTCACTTTTCACTTACACACTCTATCTTAAGTCTGTTCCATTTGCGCACTTCAACCATATCTCATATGTGCCATTCAGGGGCGGACCCACGTGTAAGGTCCTAGGTGCTGCAGCACCCATTGACTCCGACGGGGACTTGGTATACTAATATAGAAATTTTATGAAAACTGATATAATATATTAGCAAGCACCCATTAACCAAAAAGTCTAATGGGTGCTTTGGTTTGGAGTCTGAAGTTTGGCCGTTTGGAAACCTTGACGTCGCGAGATCAAATCCAGTTGGCAGCGTTTTTTGTTTTTTTGATTGTTTTCTATTTCAAAAAATAACACTTTTCCTTATTAAATGATCGTTGACTTCCTTGTTTGCTTGTTTATTACGCACTTGCCTTCTTTTACTTTCTTTTTCCCCATTTTTAATTTTTTTTATTTCCCCTTGTTTACTAATTAGATGAGGAAAAGGAGAAAAAGAAACCTCCACTGGTTAAAATATCGGTAGGCTTTCAAAAGCTACCAAACCAAAATATTAAAACAGCTCTCGGGCATCGCCTTCTCTAGTTCTTCTTGTAGGTTTCGCAATTCGCAGGTTACAAAGTGAACAACAAGTTTTCTTGACCTCCCTATCTCAAAATTAAAACACAAGGAACAAGGTAATAAGATTTGGTATTTTGATTTAAGCTAGAGATTTTGGGTATAAATAGCAATATTCTATCGAAGATATTGGGTTTTACAAATCACAATTCTTATTATCTATGCTTTGTAAAATAAATTCAGTAATTTTTTTTTATGAATACACCCACTGATTGTAATTATTTTGTGGAAAATAAACAATAGTTATGTTTACTTGTCAAAAAGTGAAAAATAAATTTATCTCTATTTCTGACTTAATTTCAAAACTGATTTTCTCGGGGATAAATGTAGGTTATTAGCATCAGTTTGTGCGATTGGTGAATATATCCTCATTGGCTCGTTGCTTCAAAAATTTATAAGTTTTCATCTTATCTTCCGAAAGGATAAATATTTCTAATATTTTTAGTGATAAAGAAGTGTGATCAATTTCCGGTGCAATGTGGTCAAATATGTTGTTATTGCTTTATTATTTGTATTGTTATAGAGGGGCATGAGTTCCCTAATAGGATTTAGTTGAATTATAATTGAATTATAGTTGAATTTTAAATTGAATCTTATTCTGTAGGAATATTTCATCAAGCTTTGTGAATTGAGATGGATAGGTTTGTCACAAGAACGAATATTGGGCAACCAAGTTCTAGTTCTACTAATCCATCTATTGCTTCAGCCATAGCTCCGGAAATTTAGAGGGACACATTTCTTTCTGATCTTGATTTAGAATCTCTCAACGCTGATCCGGGAGATAGAAAGCCTATTACAGAATACAACCCTATATACGTGATGAAGTTAGAAGACATTGTATTCAAAAAAAGCCTTGTCAGCTTGCGAATCATGATTTTCCTAAAACTAAGTTTGGGAAGATAATGCGTCAGTTTTGTCCTGTTGGTTTAAGGGTCAACATTCTAAGTGGTTGGAATACAGTATATCAAAAGATGCTGCATATTGTTTGTGTTGTTACTTGTTCAAAAATGAACATGAAAGTCATGGAAATACGGGAGATGCTTTTACAAAAAATGGCTTTAAAGCTTGGAACAAGGCTATTGAAAGATTTAAAGCTCATGTTGGAGAAGTAAATAGCATCTATAACAAGTGTTTCAATAGGATGATTGATTTAATGAATCAATCACAATCAATTCGCACTTATTTTGACAAACAATCCGAGAAAGAAAAAAGTGAGTCTCGACGTCGCTTAAGTGCTTCAATCGATGTGGCAAGATTTCTTTTGAGACGAGGTTTGCCATTTCGTGGGCATGATGAGAGTCAATCTTCTACAAATAGAGGTATTTTTCTTGAGCTTTTGCAATGGTATGGGGATATTGATCGGGATGTTGGAAGCATTATATTAGAAAATGCTCCAAGAAATGAAATGATGTGTTCTCCAAGTATTCAAAAAGATATTGTTGATGCTTGTGCTAAAGAAACAGTCAAAGCTATCATTGAAGACATGAATGGGGATTTTTTCAGGATACTAGTTGATGAATCAAAAGATATATCACACAAGGAGCAAATGGCACTTGTTTTGAGATATGTTAACAAAGAAGGCGAAGTCATAGAGAGATTTGTTGGTATTGTTCATGTTAGTAATACATCGGCTATGTCATTAAAAAAGGCAATCTGCTCTTTTCTTTCTAATCACTCATTAAGTCTAACGCAAATACGTGGGCAAGGTTATGATGGGGCTAGTAACATGCAGGGAGGGCTAAATGGTGTTAAGACTTTAATTTTGAATGAGTCTCTATCAGCATAATGCATTCACTGTTTTACCCACCAATTGCAATTAACACTTGTGGCTCTTGCAAAGAAGCATTCAGATGTAGATGACTTTTTTTGTATAGTTACTAATGTCTTAAATATTGTTGGAGCATCTTTTAAGCGCAGGGATTTGCTTCGAGAACATCAAGCTGAAAAGTTAGAAGAGTTGCTCAAATCAGGTGAAGTGCATATTGGACGAGGTAAATCAAGATCGTGGGCTTCAACGACCAGGTGATACTCGTTGGGGTTCTCATTATAAGATGTTGGATAACCTTATTGTCCTATTTCCATCGATTATTCATGTTCTTGAATTTACTGCACGTGAGTGTCCAAACTATGCTGACAGAATTGTTGCTGAAAGTCTTATGGGTAAGATTAAGGAATTTGATTTTGCTTTTATGTTGCACTTGATGTTAAATGTTTTAACAATGACAAATGAGTTGAGTTGTGCGTTACAAAGGATGGATCAAGATATTGTCAATGCTATGGGACTCCTTGCTCTTACAAAGCAACTATTACAAACGATGAGGAAGAGTGGATTTGGATATTTAATGGAAGATGTCTCTTCTTTTTGTGATAAACATGATATAATGATTCCAAATATGGACGCTCGCTACTTTCCTGGGAAGTCGAAGCGTAGGGCTCTTGATGTTACATATTCTTATCATTTGCATGTCGATATTTTTTATGCTGTTATAGATTTGCATTTTCAAGAGCTTAATCGTTGCTTTGATGCTGTGAGTAATGACTTACTCCTCGGTATGGCTAGCTTAAATCCCGTTAATTCATTTGGTAATTTTGATAAGAACAGAATAATGAAGTTGGCCGAATATTATCCGAATGAGTTTGATAGCAGCCAGCTTCGAGATCTCAGTTGTCAGCTTGATAGTTTTATACTTTATGCATGTGGTGTTGACAAGAGGTTCTTCGGCTTGAAGGGAATTAGTGATCTTGCTAAAGTGTTGATTAAGTCAGATCTGCATCAAACTTGGCCACTTGTTTATTTGCTAATCAAGTTGACTCTCATTCTTCCTGTTGCCACAGCTTCTGTAGAACGAGCTTTCTCATCCATGAACTATATCAAAAGTGAACTTCGTAACAGCATCAATGACAAATTTTTAAATAGTTGTTTAGTTTGCTATGTATAGCGTAAGATATTTGCAAGTGTTAGCAATGACGCTATTATTCATCGTTTTCAACATATGAAAAGTCGTCGAGTACAGTTGTGAGTTGTGACTAGGGAAGTCCTTTTTTTGTAATGATAACATATTAACATTATTATCTGACTCGTGGCTAGAAGTCATTTTTGATAATGACAATAGTAATCATGTTTTCTCATTAATTTTTTTCATTGCCCCGTTCGAATAAATTACGCTTATATGATTGATAGCACCTTTATATTAAAAGAAAGTGAGCACCCACGACCTTAAAATTCTGGATCCGCCACTGGTGCCATTTAGACACCCACGCCTCTGAGACCTTCACTTCTAACCGCTTCTGCGGAACGACGACCGCTCATGCGGCTCCGCACCTGCGGCCCTAGCCTCGCAGGTGCTGTTACACTAGCAACCAGCAACTTCAGCCTTCTCCAAAATTCTAATTTCGATCTGTTAACCACCCGGAATTCACCCGAGGCCCCCGGGACCCCAACCAGTCCCAAAACACATTACGAACTTGCTCGAGGGCTCAAATCATATCAAATAACGTTAAAATCACGAATCGACCTCCAATCCAAGCTTTATGAACTTTAGAACTGCAAGCTTCTACTTTCGATGTTTGAACCTAGCAAATCACGTCCGATTGACCTCAAATTTTGCACACAAGTCATATTCAACATTACAGACCTACTTCAACTTTCGGAATCGAATTTCGACCCCGATATCAAAATGTCCACTTCCGGTCAAACTTCTCAAAAACCTTCAAATTTCTATCTTTAGCCAAATGACTCCAAAACGACCCACGGACCTCCGAATTCACTTCTGATCGCGCTCCTAACTCCAGAATCACCATACGGAGCCACTCCCAAACTCGGAATCCCACACGGACACTGATAACACCGAAATGCACTTCAACCCAAACTTATGGAATTTTTTCTAAAATGCTAACTTCCACAATATGTGCAAAAATGCTCTCGTGTCATCCGAAACCCGATCCGGGCATACGCCCAAGTCCCAAATCATCATACGAACCTGTTGGAACCCTCGAATCCCAATTCCAAGGTCGTTTACTAAAATCTCCGATCTTAGCTAATTCTTTCAACTTAAAGCTTCCGAAATGAGAATTCTCTTTCTAAATCAATTCCGAACTTCCCGAAGTTCAATTTCGACCACGCATGCAAGTCATAATACTTGAAATAAAGCTGTTCATGGCCCCAAACTGCTGAACGGCGTGCTAGAGCTCAAAACGACCGGTCGGGTCGTTACATTCTATCCAACTTAAACATACGTTCGTCCTCGAACGTGCTGAGAACTACACTAAAGTAGTCTGAAATCACTGTTTAACACCTCATGCACCTACCCGTGCCACCACAACTCAGTTGAGCACATTAGCTCGATCAATTCTAAAGATATTCTCTTTTATTTAAGCAAATAAGCCTTAGAGCCCAATTCCAACATCCTGAATTATATACCAGGCCTGTTTCCAACATACGCTCACCATATCAATAGCTACACGCAGCACTAAGACATGACTGCATACCTTAATCAGATTTGCACCTTGCACCACTTTAATCACAGGACCATAATAACATTCTCTGATCAAATTAGTCGAAATTCCACGAATCTGATGTTCCCAATGCACCTCATGATATATCTAAGTCTTGCTCTAACTCTTACAATACCGCCACAACAGAAGAGATGTGTAGAAATTCATAACCGACAGCCGAATCAACAATTCATTGGGTCTATACTCCTAATAGGAACCATCACCTCATCTTGAACCAAATAATGGTCTTTGGTCCTTAATATACTTCATATAATCAGATTGCAATGATCCTAAATCCAATGATCTCATCTCACCTACTACGAACTTCTTAGGCAATAAGCCATCCCGGACATGATCAAAAGTCTCATATGATGCCACCATGTGCCAATAGGCTACTAACTCGAACATGATATATAAATAAAATGAACTCTGAAAAGGAAATCCAATTACCCGGCTCGCGAATCATACATGCGATGCGGTCAACATAATTGAACAGACACCTCGCTCGCAAATCATACATGTGACGCGGGCACACCGCTAATATGATTTTTCCTCAGAAAAATAGGAAACAAAACACATAAAAATAGATACGGGGAACTGTAGTCAACATCACACTGTTGCAGTGCGCAACCCGATCCAAACAACATACCCATGGCGGCGTGCCACCCGATCCACACATAAAATTCACATAAGGAGATACACACCGAGCTAGATTGCTCATTACAACGAAATACCGAATGTCGGTCACAAGCACGCTAAGTGCATAATACCATCCCTGGGGAGACATATAGCGCCATAAGCTACAAAACTCAAGCACAATTGAGGTGCGATATACGATCTGAATCTCAAGAGCCATTCTGCTCATATAACGTCATCTCTACGCAGAACCTCAACACATAAGAAATTCACCAAGCCATCTCACGACTCACACGGCGCAATACATCATTACATGAAATAGCTGACGACGAAATAACACCCCGACTACTCCTCCATAAGGAGCGTATGGCTGAAATGAACACATCTGGCCTGATATAGATCCCATTCACATTTAAATCCATCCATAGACCTCAAGTTGATTCTGGTCGCACTGAACCAGGCTAATAACCTTTCAAAGGTCCATAATCACCCCCTTTTCTCAAAACACACAAGAACGACCATCATAACCGGAGTAATCCTCCACAATTTGCAACCCAATAAACTGTGTGCCCTACAGGCATCAATTCTCAATTTAACGTCATCACCACAATCTTCATACTTGATTTAACTCTTCAATAAATCAAATGACTACATGCCATACCTATACGACCTTCCCGTGGGGCACGCTCCCACAACCTTCTGTGATAGATAATAGGTCTGTACATCCAAACCACTGGCCGCACTAACGCTAAAAAGCGATCAAAATCCTTAATCAGGATGCAAAGCCTTTTTCACAAAACACCGATCTCAGGTGATGCTTAAGACAATACCAACTTACCTTAAACATCAAAACTCCTTTCCTGCTCATCCGAGCTCGTGACATCCTTATCAACACCGAACTGCAATTTTGATCCTCACTTCAAATTCCATACCACTTACTGTACCCAACATACCAATATACGATAGAACACGTTTTTCATCATAACTTTGGAACCACTAATAGATTAACACTTCATCATATAAAAACTTTTCACTTAACTCACTTCAGGAGAACCATAGCAACACACAGGTGAATTCTCATAATCGTAGAATATGCAAATCTTCAAGTAGTGGTCTAAACCACCATAGCTCTTCCGGGATCCGCCTACACATAACAGGTCATAACAGTGGAATACTTCTGAATAACGTTAATTATGGTGACCGGTGTCACACCTCCTTTTTCACTACCTACACCCCCGGAAGAAAGGCGTAAAGGAGTTTTTCCAATTAAAGGACAATCGGAACGGGATTTAATTATTAATTATTCAGAGTCGCCACTTGAGAGATTAATGGTGTACCAAGTCACCGGTTGAATCCCGAACCGAGGAAATTCATGACTCTGTTAATAGTCCGCGAACCAGAAATCCGAGTAAGGAATTCTGTTAACCCGGGAGAAGGTGTTAGGCATTCCCGAGCTCCGTGGTTCTAGCATGGTCGCTTAACTGTTGTATTTGATTTTATCTGATTTTAATACATGCTAGCTTATATGCCTTTTATTTAATTTTACACCGCTTTTATTATAATTATTTTTTAAAGAATTGCGACGTCATGAAAATGCGTTTTGAACCACGTCGCAATCAATGCACCCGTAGTTATCAACATATTTTGACTTCGTCGAGATTTGGATTTGAGTCGCATCAATGCGCACCCGAATTTTAAGAAGGTTATTTAATTAAATCATACCTAAAGATACTAACGTAGTGTTATTTTTGGGAAAAGCCATGAAGTTAGCTAAATGGCCATCCCAAATTCTAATTATTTCGATAATTATTTACTAAGGGCCCCACATTTATTTATTTTTGCGCAGTGAGGCTCGTCTCAATTTGTGAAACTCTTTTCTATCATTATTTATTTTTAAGAATTACGATGTCGCGAAAACGTGTTTCGAACCACGTCGCAATCAATGCACCCGCGGTTATCGACACATTTCGGCTTCATCGAGATTTGGATTTGGGTCGCATCAATGCGCACCCGAGTTTAAGAAGGTTATTCAATTAAATCGAGCTCAAAGATTCTAATGTAATATGATTTTAAAGAGGACCATGGAATTTGCTAAATGGCCATTCCAATTTCTAATCATTTTTAGTAGCCCATTGTTGACAGTCCGCGCGTGTGATTTGTTCCGGCAAGGCTAGTAGCAATTCCGAAATAGCTACGATTTCCTACTTATTTGTATGCCTCTAAAAGACTAGTTAATTTAGAAATGGATTACAATGAAATAGACTAAGAACCAAATTTAAAGGAGAATTGGGTCTGCCTCATAGCCTTGGGGTGATCCGAGCGGCCCAACGAAGATAGGTTTATTTCCATTGCAACAATTAATAAAATATCCATGAATCCTTATACTGACCATGCATACCTTCATTTTAACAAAACCGTGAATTCTCAGAATCCCTAAACGATCTATCCTATACGTTGCCTACCAAGACCTGCTGTTTTTAATGAACTAAGTCAATTATGATTGAGTTTGCCTAATGATTTCCAACTGATTTCTATACCAATATACTTACCATAACTATGATTCACCTTCCATACAATTTCAGAATCTTAAAACAGAAGCAAACCTTCTACTACACTATGATGACAAAATACCAATAATTAAGCTAAATGTTATCAAACTTGCTCATGAATTCTCATGTTATGTACACAGGTCTAATTGCTACTGATGACTATTGAATTCACACAAACTTTCAAAGCAGACCAGGCCCATGCTCAAAGCTATTTTGACTGCCCAATTCAACAGTTCAAAATTACACACAATTCAACATGT